GTAGCGAGGCGTCAAGGTCTCACCCGTGGCCCGGGAGATGTGCGCCCCACCGCGGCACAATCCTCTGGGAAGCCGGACTCCAGGGGCACTGGCCGTCCATGCACCAACGCCTTCCGCCTCTCGATAGTCCCAGCCCCCGGACGTGTGCCTTCTTCCCAGTTTACAGATGCGAAAACTGAGGCCAAACGCAAATTACACCAATGAGGCCAGGGCAGCCTGGAACTCAGAAGTCGTCTTTCCATTCCAATCTCCAGACGTGTTCCATTCAGATTTTGTTTCCTTCCTTTTCTAATTGCTGCAAGATATTTAAGGAACGGAGGCTCTCATTGGGGAGGGAGACGTATCTACAAAGCCCCTTGAAGAGGCCTAGTACCGTGGCTGTCGTTTTACATCATCTCAACCCACGCCATCCCCACCGAGCCGCAGGGAAATCTCCCAGCTTTCCAGATGGGCGTACCGGGGCCTGGCTCGCACAGAGGCGGGTAGAAACACTACACGCGCTGCTCTGCAGTGGGGGTGTCGTTTGCGATAGGCCTAGCGAGAGAGGAGGTTCAAAGTGCAGAGAGGACAGGGAGATGTATGCGTCTCCCTCTGGGGTAGGGAACTGGGTAGAAGGCGCGGACCTCCTTCCCAGCGCTCCCTGCCGCACGTGGGCGCCTCAAAGTGGTCCGTATGTTGGGCGGCAGCAGGTCCCCAGGCTGCAGGACTTGGGGATGCACGGCTGAAGGCCGATGAATTAGTCTTGGTCGGTGGCGGTTGAGACACTCCCCTGGTTTAGTCCCCAAGCAGGAACCGCACAGGGATTGTGGCTGCGAGTCTGTGGGCTGGAGACATTGCACAGCAGTGCGCAAGCGGAGCTTGCTGGGGTACCCTTCATCCCTGATCTGGAGCCCGCGCTGCCTGGGGTGGGCGGAGCCTCTCTTCCAGGCCCGCAGCCCCTGAGCCACCCTCTCCCACCCGTCGCCGGGCAGAGTCCCAGGTTCGGCCCGCCCCAAGGGGAAGGGCCTGTGACTGGTGGCAATTATTCGCGGCAGGGATGATGCGGCGGAGACATTTCGGAGCAGGAGAAGTCCATGTCAGCTGTCATTCACCGCCATTGGCATTCCCACCACCTCCAGTCCCCCCCACCACCTCGAGTTGGGGCGCCAGTTTAGGACTCTCTATACCCTGCTCCCCTCGGTGTTTGTGGAATAAGTATGTGTTGACCAGAGCCACGGCCAGGGAATACGGGGTGCAGTGGGCCTCCTTCAGGCCATCTCCTCCCTTACGGGGAAGTCCTCCTTGAGTAGCAGTTGTATCTCCCGCTGCCTCTCAGCAAGGCTGACCCAGAAGTGTTGTGAAATGGCTGAGTCCAAGACGCCTCAGCCTGACAGACCCCCGATCTCTTGTTGGACCCCAGGGGCACCAAGGAGGGCAGGTCCTTCTGCACACCAACCAGTTACCCAGGAAGCCCCAACACTATCCGCACACTGAAAGGAAAAGTGAATAAGTCCGAACTTAACTGTTTGGAAATCTTGAAAAATAATGATTGCGAGTGCAGGAGGTACCTGGGTAACCAGGACAGGAGCACCCAGAACCAAACTCCACTAGGCTTGCTTTACCTACATTTAACCTACACTACTATTCCTTAATATGTTTCTTTTGGTTAATTTTTTTTAATTTCTGATTTTACTTAATACTACCATAAAAGGGTTTGACATGCTACTTATATTTCCTAATCTACATTAAAATAGCTATTAAAATAAAAAGCATTCATCCTTGAGCTCATCTGAAGTATCCCCATGGAATCTGACCACACTTAGGGAAATGCTGTGGTTGAGTGTGGTAGTCAGAGAGCCCCTGGGTTTCAAGCCTTGCCATTGGCTGCTTGACCTGAGTCTCCCTCTGCTTCTCTTCCTGGAACCTCCCAGGGCTGTTCTGAGAATCGCAGGCATGTACAGCTTGGCAAGTAACCCATTCTCAGGAAATGCAGTTCCTTCTCTCCATGAGACAGCTGCTCTGTGGTCAGAGCATCTGTGGTGTGTGTGCAGAGGTGACAGGACCTCACACCAAGGAGAGACAGCATATTTCATCCTCGAGACCCTGAGAAGGGAATTTCAGTTTGGTGACCACACAGACCCTATTTGCAGCAGGAGAGAACAGAGTCCCATCCTCAGCTGCCCACCTGTAGAGATCTGTCCAGACTTCTCATCCTACGATGCCCCAGGTGTCCACAGCTTACCTCCATCACCACAAGGCAAAGCGCTCTCCTTGAGGAGGAGAGAAGAGAGGAGCTGAGAGAGGTAGACTTCTTGTGAGGAGAGAGGAGGCCGAAGCCCTGCTCTTGGTCCTGCTTTAGTCCCAGCAGACGAGAGCACACCCTACATGTAGGCACTTTTCAGCCACCCCACAGGAGACCCTAGTCACAGGTTTATGAGAAAAGGACTGGACTAGAAGGAGAGCTGGAGGATGGGAGTAAAGGATGCCTGTTTCTTTAGGCAAGTCACTTCCCCTTTTGGGGCCTCCTTTCCCCATCTAATAAATGGAACAATGAGTCATTCACTCAACAAATACTTATTGAGTGCAGACCATGTGCTGGACACAGCAGGGAATAAAACAGAAAAGGTCTCTGCTCTCAGGAACTTACATTCTGGATGGGGAGACAGACAATAAACAAATGAACAAGAACATTTCCTAAGTGCTGTAATGAAAATAAAGCAAGGCAGTAAGATAGCAGGTTGAAGTAAATGAGAGCCAGGTGCCTTCCCAGGCCGTTCACTGTCTATACCCAAGAGTCATTTGGCTGTTTTATACCCAAAAGAGACTGCAGCCTCCTTACCCTGAGAAGGTGGCTTATAGGAACCTTTGCCCTGACTCTCACTCCAGGGCTGCCAATGATATCCTAAACCAGAAGAAATGCTTCCAAATTCTCTGACCCGAGGCCCCAAATCCTGGTCCCAGGCTCAATCCTAGTTCCTTCCATTGGCCAAGATTACTCTACCTGTGACTGTAGGTCCAAGCCTGTTGTACAAATCACTCAAGGTAGAGAAAGGCATTTTACACTAATTATGGTTGAGCAACTGAGGATTTGAAAAATAAATACTAGTTGTTTTTTATTTTTTGGTGCTCCAGGTGAGGCTCGAACAAGTTGTTTTTAAAATAATCACTGTAAGTGTATGCATTTGTCAAAACTCAGCAAACGTAGTTAGGATCTGAGCATCACATACAGATTTTTGTCTTTTAAAAAAAAGCACACAATGAACTGCATTCTAATTACTGAAATACATTCAGAAGTATTCAGAAGGAGGTAAATGAATGACTGCAACTTACTTTGAAAAGCATCAAAAATAAGATGGATTAATAAGATGGACAGATGGACAGACAGATGTATGAAAATTAAGCATATTAGTAAAATGTTACTAGTAGACTCCAGGTGGTGGGTATACAGGTGTTCATTATAAATTCTTTCAACTTAGCTGTATATTTGGAAGTTTTCATGATAAAATGTGGGGGTGGGGGTGGGAAGCAATGTTTAACTCTATAAGAGACTATACAAAACTGCTTTTAATTTTCAAACAACTCTTCCCAGGGAAAATTCCAGTGCTTCTCCACAGGCACACACACTTTGTATAAAGTTGTAAACACTATTTGTATAAATGTCATTATTGTTATTTCTCACATATTTCTTAAAGTTCATGTGTACAGTGTTTAATGTTCGCATATCACATGAGTAACTACGCTGTATGTTACTTTGGGGACATAGGCTTTTTATTGTGTACATTCTAAATGCACTGCCCAGCGCCCCCCTTCCAGAGAGAGGACTGGATGGTACCAAACCTCTTTTCGTTAGGAAAGCTGGAGAAAACATTTGTTAAAGGCGTGGAAGAGCTACCAGGACAGTGAAGAATTGTGAGGCCAAGACTGAGGAGGAAAAAAAAATTCTCCTCCAATCTCCAGCATTGAGAATCTCCTTTCCTTTCCCCAGGTGTCTGTTGATTCTGAGAGAGAAGATTTATAGGTAGTACCAGATTGTGATTCCAAAAACTGACCACATTTCCAGTTCTACACCCTCTTCCAGAGCCTGGCTACTTCCCTATTAAGAGGTGGAATCTATTTCCCCTTGGAATTGGGTGGGGTAGGCCTGTGTGACTGCCTTGGCAAACACAGGTGTAATACTGTGTGACTTCCAAAACTAGGTTAGGGAAGGCAGTACCTCTCTGCTTTACTCTCCTGGGATGCTGTCCTTGGGACCTGGCTGCTATGCTGTGAGGTGGAGCAGGTTGCAGGTGTTCTGGCTGGCAGAACTAAGGTCAACAACCAGCTTCGACTGCCAGACATGTGAGTTAACAAGCCTTTAGATTCCAGGCCCCACTGCCAAGTCACCCCCAACCTGTCTTTCAGCTGATGGCCTAGACCTTGTGGGGCAGGCGCACTATCCCTTGTTTTATCTTGTTCAAATTCTTGAACGATATAATAAGAGGTGAGCATAATACATGGTTGTCTTACAGTTTGCTTTATATCCCCTTGCAGGATTTTCACAAATTTACATTTACAAACCAGGTAGGGGAAGAAAAAGAAACACCTTACCAAGCTGAGTCTCTCGCTCATTTTAAGCATAGTCCTAGGGGCGTTAAAGAGGGGAAGCCAGAAGTTCCAGGGAGGCCTGCCTTCCCTCTGGGCTTTGGTTTCCTCCTTTGTCTTCCTTCTAGACTAAAGGGGGCCACAAGAAGAAAGACAATGCCCTCGGTGTTAGGTAGGGATGCTGGGGCATGAAGCCAAGGTGCACTGGAGTGTAGACTGAGGCTACAGACTGGGAGCCCTGAAGGCCATGAAGGCATTCCTACTGACTAGGGGTGAAGCCTCCATCGGGGGGGAGGGTGGAGCCAAGGGTCGCCAGTCTGCAGCCCTTCCTTGGCAGAATTGCCTAAAGGAGAACGCCATCCTCTTTTTCTTTTCAGCCCAGAGACCACTCAGGAATTGCTCCCCACTGTCCAGTAGGCAGGGTTTCCCTGATCCCTCCAATGCAGCGGTTGCACACCTCTCATCAGTCCTCCACTCCTCACTGGAGTGCACACCAGGGGCCTAGCCTCAGGATCCCCGGCTCAGAGGGCCCTGTTTCAGGTCCGGCTGAGTCATCCCTCCTCTGTTACCACAACAGCCAAGGAGCAGCTCTAAGGCCCCCAAATGTCCAATATGGTTTCAAATCCCAGTCTTGCCACATACTTGCTCCCCAGTCCTCAATCCCTAATTTTCTCTTAAGATGGGGTGGTATTACCTGTCTCCCAGGGCTGTCTTGTGAAATAAATGAAAACAGAGCTAAAGTGCTTAGCAAGTTTCGTGTGTGTGTTTGTGTGTGTACACGTGCAATGCTTTTCAGTGTGGTTCTTGATGACTTGGTGTTCATTACATCTTATGTCATCTCTCCCCATAATCTTCCTAGGGCCTGTGTGCTTGCGAGGACTTTCCTTAGTAACTGTGGAGGGGGGCAGGTCTCTTGTAACTATCGCTGGAGAAGCTTCCTCTCCAGCCCGACACAGGAGCCCTCAGCTCCTGAGGTGTCTGGATGGTTCTGCCTCCAGCTTGTTTTCGCTCAGGCTGGATTGCACAATACAAGCACTCTAAAATGTTTCAGCTTTATTTACAACTAGAACCCCAGCTCCCACCACACCCCAGCTCCTCAACTTTGTTCTGGAAGAAGAGATGGATGAGCAGTGACGTTTCTGCCAGGCCCAGGGCTCGGGGACATGTGCAGACAGGCCCCTTACTTCTTTTGGGCCTGTGCCCGGGCCCGCTGAATCTTGTCGGCTGTGGCCCCGTCCGTGGCTCCGGTGCAGTGGGACAATACGAGGCTCATCTCTGCCTCGTTCCGGTGCTCAATGGCCACGTCTGCAGCCTGAGCCACATCCCTGGGATTTGAGCAGGAGGGGAGACGTTGTTGGGCTGCCCAGGGGCACAAACCGTGCCTCTCATCAGCCCATTGGCTTAGCCACCCAGCACCCTCGGGGCCCTCGGCAGACGCACCCAACGAGAAGCAATGCCTTGACCTTCTGCTCAGGACCCACACGGGAGGCATACTTCTTGGCCTCGTATTTGTTGTGTTGCTTCATGCAGATTTCCACAAAGGGCTTAGGAGGGGGAGAGGGTGAAGGGAAAAGATAAGGCAGAGCCCTCCTGTCCTCTCTTATGAACAAAGCCCAGTAGCTACACTATACCCTTCAGTATGTATACCTTACATTATACCCCACATTATACCCCTCAACCCTGCCCAAAATACACATACAACAGTTACACACACACAACAGTATTGTGATCCTAACATTCTTAGGGCAGAAACGACCTAAACCAAAGATCTGTTGGAGCTCTGAAACCCAACAATTCCATGCATCCACTCCACCATCCACTGCTACCCACTCACAGCAGGCATTAGCTGTCCTCCCAGGCTGCCCTTAGCCCCACTACCTGCCACACCTCTGAACCACCTGCCACACCTCTGAACCGCCTGCCACAGAAAACCAACCTATCAACATCCTCCACTGCCTCGCAAATGTTTCCTCCCTGTGCCCCTCCACCACCACTCCAACAGGACTTTCCTTCAGGCACATGGTGTCCCCCATGGTCCTCCTTGGGAAGAGCAGCTGATTCTCCCTACCGCCAACAGTTGCAGGCAGACTTGGGCCCACCTCCCGCGTGCCTGGCCCACAAACGTGCATACACAGGAAGCACCCACTAACTCTGTGGAGTAGCTGAACAGATGCGTGAACAGGCCATCAGCCTGTCTCTGAGCCTGGTCCTCTCCCCAGGAGGACCCTCCCTCACTGGAGGTGGGGTGGAGGGTGGGCCCTACTCACCAGGTAGCCGATGGGTGATTTCTTGCTCTTAGAAAACTTCTCTAGCTCTTCCCAGTCTTCCAGATGTGCCAGGGCGGTCAGTTTCAGCCACCAGAGCCTGTGGGGAAGCTGGGCGTGGAGGTGCTGCAGGAGGGGCCAGGGGATCCCAGGAACTACACGCCGACCGGGCCCTCTCCTACCTCTTGTCAGGGATGCGGAAGTCACGCGCCAGCTGCTCCGCGCGCTTGTTCTGGCCGCCAAGGATGAGGGTGGTGACCGTGTCATGTAGAGACAGGTCTAAGAACTGGCCCCCCAGCTCGTCTTCTAGGCGTCGCTGCAGCCGTAGGAGCCGCATTTGATCCTCTGTGGCCTGGGGACAGGGATGAGGCAGGACAGGAATGAGAGAGACAATGGGGGGATACTGGGAGGGGAGAAGAAGAGGCTCGCAGAAAAGAAGGGGCCAGACCTTGGCTGCAAACTCATTCTTGGCCTTGTAGAAGGCGTCGGCTGCTGTCTGCAGAGCTGCGACTCGCCCCTCAATGCGCTACCAGGACAAGAAGGGACACCTGAGCTCACAGCACAAAGCACCTCAGCTTTCCCCACCTAGGTGATGGTTTTCTCCCCATCCCTGTGCCCAGGGTCGCCAGTGCCAGCCTCACCCGCTGGGCACACTGCTCTAGTGTCCCTAGCAGGAAGGCCGGCTCCTCTGGGACCAACCCCCATCCTGGCCTCATGTCTTCTCAGGCTCTTCCTCAACAGTGAGGATCAGATGGGGTGTGCACCACATTCAAGGCCCAGACACCTGGAGGAGAAGCCAGCCCATGGGCCCCACACGCCCCGTGGCCCTCAGACCTCCTCTGCAGCGTAGCTGGCTCGGATGTGGAAGCTGCCCAGCTCCTGATGGTTGTCATCCTGATTGTAAAGGTCCTTCAGCGTCTCCAGCTCCTGATGCTTACAGAACTGGGGCAACGGGCAAGCGGGCAGTCAGCAAGGCCAACTCAGGGGCTCGGAGCCTCCAGTCCCACCCTGCCCACCGCACACACCTGTCGGTACAGACTCAGGGCCATGGGCTGGTTCCGAAGCGTCATGAAAAAATCTCCTCGATTCAGCTCATTCTTCAGGTGCAGCAGCACCGTGAACACTATGGGATGATGAGGTGGGATGGGGGTTCCAGCCCTACTACCACTTGCCCTCCTCAGAGACCCCAGCCTTGCCCTCACCCAAACCCTGCTCACCCAGGTCGGTGTCCCCACTCTCGATGGCCTTGCTTAGTGCCAGTTTGCTCCTCTTCATCTTTAGCAGAAGGGGTACCTGCTCCCCGGAGCGTGGCTCATACTCCAGCAGCTGTGGGTGGGGAGGAAGGCACAGCGGGAAGGAGCTGGCCTGGGGGCCTCTACTACCCACATCAGAGCATCTGGGGAAGGCTAGGCACCTACCTTGATGGCCAGTTCCGTGCGGCCACAGCCATAGGCTCGTGCGGCAATGTCTGAGTAAGACACGCCAGGCGTGTCCCCCAGCTTCTGGTTAATGGCCCGCGCAACATCCTCGTCAGACACGTCTTTCTGCTGTACCTGCAGAGGGAAGGGGTGTCACACACACCTGGCTCTCATCTCCTAGCCCCCACTCCCACTGCCTCCATCAGGACCCACCCTTTCAGTCTACACTTCATATTTGCTACACCTCACCAGGGTCTAGAAGCCCCTAAATGCCACTGAACTCTGTCCTACATCCTCACCTTATAGCAGGCCCAGTGGGCCAGGATCCTGCTGACGCCCTGCACTTCAGGAAGCCGCAGGTACTCACATATCTGAATGGCCAGAGGATAAAGCCTCCGCAACACAAGCCTGGCAGGCAAGGGGGGTAAAGGGCCCGGGGGTGAGGTGGGTAGAAAGAGGGCAGAGTGGCCCCAGCCTCGAACTCGGGCCTCCCAGATCCCAAGGAAAGGGGTCAGGAGCAGTGACCACAGGAGCACGTCCGGCGCTGTAATGCTGCCCACTGCAGCCCCTCCCAGCACCCTTGGGCTTGCTGTACCTGTCCAGCAGCACCTGGATGGTGAGCTGCTTGTATCTGTATTTCATTCGGTTAAGGCTCCAGCAGGGGAACGAGCCCTACGTGCCAAGGACCTTTAGGCATCATCTCCAGCCCCTTCCCCCCACCCACGGCAGTAAATACCCTTCCAGCACACTTGGGGATACTGGCTATAGGTGAGGGGGATCCCGATGTGATAGTCTCGAACAGCATTGAGCACACGTAGGTCCTGACACATGCGCACGAAGCTGTCTGGTGGAAATCTGTCGAGGAAACACTTTCCAAACGAGGCCGCCTGAGAAGAGCCAGAGGGCAAGAGAGGAGAGCTTCCCCTCTGCCAGCCCACCCCTGCCCAGCGGCCCTCCCTCCAGCCCTGCCTCCTGGGCCGACCCTGAGCAGACTCTTCTGCATGTCTGGCCAGTGCTCGTGTCCTGCGGCCTCGATGCACTGCTGCACGGCCTGGGTCAGCTGCCCCAGCTCCTGGATCTCCCGCAGGTACTCATCAGCCTTCTGGCTCTCTTTCTGGGGTGAGGGAGGGTGCAAGAGACAATGTGTCATGGCAGGGAACACCGCCAGTCTGGCCCCCACCCCTCTGGGGCTGTGATTCAAATGGGCTAGTCTGGCGGGCTGCAGAGGTCGGAGCCCACACCCCACCCCATATCAGCCCACCATAGCCTATGGGGGGCCCTGAGACCTCTCAATAGTAGCCCTGACTTGTGCCTAGACTGGGAATAGTGGGGGCTCCCTGCCCCTCCCTATCACCACACAGAGGACACTATGTCTTTTCCATCTACCTGAGCCAACCCTCCCTAGCCCAGCCCAGCCCAGCCCAGTGTCCTAGCTGGACCCCTGTCCTGACAGGTGGCAGCTGGATGCAGGGGCTGGGCCCATCAGGGGAAGGGGGAGGGGAAGGAGAGCATCCTGGGGCCCGGGGGAAAAGCCAGGGCTTTACCTCATATTCCTTCTGGGCCTCCAACAGCAGCGCTCCAGGGGCCATCGAGGCAATTTTAAAGATCTCCTCGCTGGCCACTGGAGGAATGGAGTTGGTAAGTAGGAGAAGGGGGCAGGAAGCCTCAGCCCTGCCTCAATGCCCTGATCCTGTTCTGCGGCACTAGCCCAGGGCAGCCGTGGTGCCCAGGGGCCCCTGCCCTGGGTCACCCAGTGCCCTTGTGAGGGCCTCACCTGGAACCTCGTGCAGGAACTCGTGGGTACTGCGGGAGAAGATGCGGACCCCATCCAGCTCAGGCACCAGGTAGGAGTCTTCATCCAACACAAACCCAAGCTTGGTCAAGGTTCCCAAGAGCACGAAGAGATTGGGTAGGGCAGGCTATCATCCCCCCAACCCTTGGCAGCCCTCCAAGGATACTGGATGCTCTCAGGTGCATCACCCACCACCATTAGCCGCCTCTCCCAGGCCACCACGACAGCCCTTTCCTTGCTGCGAGGACGGCTGCACCTGTGGGCAGCAGCACACGCGCGCGCACACACACACACACACACACACACACACACACATAAATGTCTGGGACACGCACAGGATGCCTGGCCCACAGCCATGTCTCCCACATCACTTTGCCTGGGTCTAGCCCTGCACATGCTTGCTGTCCCTTATCCCATTCCTCTGGCTGATCTGTCTGCTTCCCTCTCACCCTGTGCTGTCAGCAACCAGGGGCATCTGGGGCCCACAGTGGGTTGGGGTTTCCCTCAAATGTGCACTGGCAGAGAAGATAAGCTCACTTGGCTTGGTCAGTAGACAGGCTGAATCAACATGTCCCAGGAGACAAGGCTACATCCACTTCCACCCCTAGCATAACACCCCCATCCTCACCAGACCATCTGCTTCGGGGGGGCCCGGATGTTGCAGTTGAACTCACACAGCTTCTCCTGAAAGGGTGCAGGGAATGTCATAGCCATGTCCCAGCAGTCGCCAGTTTGGTTGAAAAGCCCTTCCCCTACCCCCAACAGATCTTTCCTGGACAAGGCATGGTGCCCCTGTGTTGTCCCAGGATCACACCTTGAGTGATGCTGTCCCCATCCAGATGTAGCCTGTGTCTGTGAAGAGTGCCAGGTGTCGGTAGGTGAAGGAGACAGCCATCTGCAGGAAGCTGCTCACTCCTGGGGCTAGGCCAGGGAGGGTCTGGGGCAGGGCCAGGAGGACACCAGAGATACTGACTTCTCAGAACCTCCCCACTGCCTCCCCCAGTCCCTCCATTTCACTCCCACGCAGGACCCCTCACCACTGCAGAGCAGGCTGCGTGGTCCAGGAGGTAAAGATCAGGTCCTACAGCCAGAAGAATGTGTGCCACTCGGTCCTGGCACAGCGTGGTCCAGCATGACGGTGCACTCTGCAGACCTGCAGCCAGGGAACAGGACAACCACAGGGTGACCAAGGCCCACAGCTTCTGCCTCTGATGGTCCCATGGTCTGGAGGCACATTTGTGGGCTCACCTGGCACCTCTGGCATCCGGCGGAGTTTGAGGTCCCCCACGTTGGCACTGAGGGTGAAGCGGTGGGCCCCTGTGAGGATGGCCACCCCAGAACCAAACTCAGTATGGAAGATCCGGGCATCTAGGACCCGGTTCTGGAGCACCTCCTGGAGAGAGGGGCCGTAGGTTAAGGGAGACTCAGAGCCCCAGACTCCATCCCTCTTCCCCAGCCCCTCGGGCCCCTACGTTGCCCATGCTGAAGTGTCTCCGGAAGTCACCATGGAGACCATAAACCAGCACCACACCATCTTCCTGAACGCAGAGCAGCTCCTCCTCGGCCGACCAGCCCAGTGACACCACGGGCCCACTCTTCCACTGCAGAGAAGAGGGAGGTTCCTGAGGCCATCCTCAGGGTGAACCCCTGGCCCCAGCCCCAGGGCGGGTGCTTACCAGCAGACTGGCCAGAGGCACGCCGGAAGCTGAGTAGATCTCGAGAACCGGCCTTATGCTGGCAGCCTTCTCCTTCTTCCAGGGGTTCCTCAGCAGTGCTGCAGTTTGAGAAGGAACCTTCTGCCCTAGCTGCCCGGGCCCACTCTGTGTGAGGCAGGCCTTAGGTAGCCTGCTTAACTAGTTCACAACTAGCTCCTTAGGCCCACCCCATGTGCAGCAGGCCTCAGGAGAACCAGAACTAAAAGCATCTCAGTAGGGTGGGTGGGGGTGGGTAGCACATGCCAGCAAGAACCACCCAACAGAGAGACCACCAGCAATCAAGGACTCTGAGTTCTCGCCGTGGTCCCAGAGCATGAGACGGCAGTGGGCGACTTACCAATGGGGCCCCCATAGGACGCAGCAGCCACCAGGCAGTCCCTCAGCTCCTCCTGTAGGTCCCAGTCCATGCTGTACAGCTCATACTTCCTGCCCACACAGAGGCGAGCAGAGGTTAGTCTCATGACCCTGCGCTCAGATGGGGTGAGCCACAGAGGAGCCCCTAAAGCTTCCATTCGTCTTCCACAGGAAAGTTGAGGAGGACCCCCATGGGCAGGGAGAGGGGGGTGACTGGAAACATATAGGCTAACTGACCACACGCGTGCTTAGGGACAGCAGGTAAGGGAGCAGAGGATGCCGCAGGGCAGGCTGTACGGCCAATAAGCCAGGACGCAGACTGAGGTGGGACTAGGCGGGGGCGGCCAGCTGGCGCCTGCATTAGCAGGAAATAAGACTCTTCAGGAGGGCCTCTCAGGTTAGGGAGCCTTTCTTCTATTTCTGGTTCTTAACACTGAATCTGACCCCTGGGCTTTATACCCAGGCGTCCACTTCAATGCTTGTTGATACTGAACTCAGTTTTAGAGGTACTGAGTGAGCAATGCCTGAAAGAAAGCAAAGAGGAGCTCTTTAGTGAGTCCAGAGCTGGGTAGAGTCCTGGGTTGGAGATACCAACCTGTGAATGCTTGGCTTACAGGAAAGTGGCACGAGACGACCGCAATCTGAGATGGGTGTGGATCACCAGAGTGTGTGCTGCATGAGAAGACGGAGTAGGAGGCTTGAGGAATGCCACCACTTGATGGTTGAAGGTGGGGAAAAGGGGACAGCGAAGGAGTGGGCACTAATCCAGGTCAACAAGAGAAGACAACATTCGAGAAGGAGGGTGTTTCAGCTAGTATCATTTCAGGAGCCTTCCCACTGAAGATCAGGAAGAGACCCATCATCACCTTCTATTGATATCCTTCTTGGAGCTCTAGTCAACATAATTTAAGAAAAAAAATAAAGAGAAGTTTCCATTTTGGAGAAGTAGTGAGATTGCTACTGTTTACAAATAATGAGGTTGTGTACTTAGAAAATCCAAAGCAGTCTATGGAACAATGACTAAAGAGCTCAGAAAGTGATCAACAAAAATCAATATATTTTCTATACCAGTTAGTTTTCTATAGGCTAGTGAGAACTAATTAGAAACATAACTTTAAAAAGATTCTAATCATGATAGCAATAAAACTATAAGGTACCCAAGGACAGACCTACTAAAAATTTTTTTGTAAAATCACATTAAAGCTTACTTAAGGATATAGAAAACATGGAAAAATATTCCAAAATGATCTATAAGTGCGCAAGAATTTCAATAAAAATCACCCCAATTTCTGGGTGGGGAGGAAAGCACAAACTGATTCTATAGTTCATGTGGGGAAAAAAAGATCATCTGAGAGAGAAAATACTGGATAATACGTAAGAACATTTGAAAATGTGAGAACAGATATATATCAGAAATTAAATACACTTAAAAACTAAAGTTAATTAAAACTTCTTTTGGCACAGGAGTAAGTAAACAGATCAATGGAACAGAAGAGAATCCAGAAAAATATCTGGGAATAGAGTATGTAAGAAAGACAGCATTTCAAATTGGTGCGAACTGATACGTGAAATGAGAGAATGGGCCATATGGGAAGAACCCCAATAAATACTACTTCATTATTTAATCTCTGCAATAAAATATTTTCCAGATGGAATTCAAGATTTAAATGTTAACAAAAATAAACCCACATCAGAACAAATCTTGCTTATTTTTATAAAGTAGAAACAATTTCTAAATATGATATAAAACCTAGAAGTCACTAAGAAAAAGACTAACAAATGAGTCTAAATAAAACTTAAGAACTTCTGTGTACTTCTATATAAGAGGGGTTAAAAAGTATATATTTACATTTGCTTCTATTTAAAAAAAGAAACTGGAAAAATTTCTAAGAATCTAATTAACAATGGTTACTTGCAGGTGAGGGGTGGAATCAGTTGAAGAGGGGTAGAGATGGGAATGAAACTGAGTTTTTAAACCACATTAATGGTTATTTATTAAAATAGTTAAAATTTAAAAAGTCCATCAAAAGCAAAGTAGTAAGACAAACTACAAAAAGGGAAAAAAAGTAACACATGAAAAAGGAATACTGTTCTTAAAAATACAAAAGGCTTTAATTAATTGTAAAAAGTGAAAATAAAAGTAAAAGAAAAATGGCCAAGGGCTAATAATACACCACTTTATGTGAAAATATTTTAAAACTAAACATAAAAAAACTTGAGAAAAATGTAAGCTAACATTTTCATTATGTAAACTACAGAAAAGTCTTTCAGAGCAAGACACAAAACCCAGAATTACAAAGCAAAAGACAGATAGATTTTATTACGTAAAAAGTTAAAATATGTACATTAAAAATTAATACATAAAAGTCAAATGATCACTGTAAGATGTGTCACATTTGTAACAAAGGGTTAACATGGAGAACATATAAAGAGTTTCTTCACAAATTAGTAGAAACAACACAATAGAAAAATAGTCAAAGATATGAACAGACATACTAATGACTAGGTAAAAATGAATTTTAAATTTATTTCCATGTTTTGGCCATCTGAATGGCAAAAATTAAGAGGCTAATAAATAACATATAATATTGTTGAAGATGTGGGAAAATGAACACTTCCCTACACATTCCTGGGAGTATAAAATGGTTCAGCCCTTACAGAAAATGAAACACTATCCAACTGGTAAGTGCGTACCCCCTCTAACTTAGCAATTTCCTTCCAAGGGTCTAACCTATAAGACTACTTGCACAAGTACTCAAAGGTATGAATTCACTGCAACACTGTTTAAAATAGTTTAAAAAAACTCCTTCAAAATCAGACTGGTGGTGCTCGCTTCGGCAGCACACATACTAAAATTGGAATGATACAGAGAAGATTAGCATGGCCCCTGCACAAGGATGACACGCAAATTCGTGAAGCGTTCCATATTTTAAAAAAAACAAAAACAAAATCAGACTGGTTAAATAAACTATTCTATGCCCATTCTGGGGAATATTATGCGACTATTAACAAGGTGACTGTGTATACTGACATGAAGTGATCGCTAAAATACATTGTTAAGTAAAAAAAAAAAAGGAAGCTGCAGCTCATTAAGAACCATATGAATCCATTTATGCAATAAAAACTGAGCAAATATTTTTGACAAGCATATTTACATATAATCACATGTATGTGTGTAAATATATAGAAAAACTCCCACAGGCCTCCACACTAGGCCAGAGACACTGGTTACCTTCAGGGAGGGTGGCAAATGAGGCTGGGAAACATGGAGACTCACAATATGTAGGCTATATACTTTTGCAGTATTTGAACTTTTTAACCCCATTGGCATTTTTTTGACATTCTGTTACTAAAATCCTTAGATGAAATTTGATGGGGAAATAGATATTCATCCTTCCATACGTGTTCTGGGGATGACTGTTCTTTTAAGCATTACTCCTTCACAGTGAGGAGGCTAAGCCTTCTCAATAGAGGGTGCTGGAGAGCACAAGGAAGGGGCTCTCCCGCTGCTTTGCAGCAGGGCAGGCAGCCTGCGCCAGGGTGTGAGAACATTTGGTGTTGCTCTGACCCAGCCATGCAGCAACCTCCAAGGCTGGCCCGGACTGGTGATCACCTTCTCACGACTCCTTGGACAGGCACGATGTTCCTGACCTCCTGCCCACGCCACCACGCCAGGCCCTACCTTCTTAGCATGACGAGATGCCTGGCTGCTGGCTACCCTGCCTGTGCCCTTAAGTGTTTCCACTGACCCCTCTGCACAACCATGCACCCAGTCACTGAGTGCTCCAGTCTGCCTGCATCAGCTCCGTGACTGCCCCTGCACACCCACACGACTGGCCACCAGCTGCAGACTGCCTGTGTCCTCTTACCCACTGAGTCCCAGAGGGTTGCGTCTTACTTGCCCAGCAACTATGGACCAACTCTGGCTCTGGGGAAACCAGTGAGCTTCACTGCCATCCAGTGGGCTGCAACTGTATCGTCTCACGGTCTAAACCCCAGCCTGGAGAAGGGCCCCCCTTCCAAGTTTAGCTTTCTCGGGGTACTCTCCCTTAGCCCTAGGTCACTGTCTAAGTTTTCCTATATCTCACAGTTACTCTTTTGTCACAGTTTAATAATTCCTTATATTTATTAAACTTTCCTGGTTTAAGTCTCCCGAATGGACCCAGATTAACTGGCGCAGGGAGTGGTCCCAGGAGACAAAACTCTAAAGATGGGATTTGGGGATTTGCTTGGTCACATGCTTGGGCCTGAGTGCAGTGCTGAGTTCTCTGCAATGGGAAATGGATGCTAGTAGCCCACTGCTTGCAGAAGCATCACAACTAATCAAGCCTGCAGTTCACTGTGGTGAAACACCAAGTCAAATATGTCCTTTGGGAGTGACCTCTGTGCTTGACCATATGGCAGTAATGATGATTATACAGGCTATGGTGTAGAAGGGTTATTTTGAGTGCACCTGAACATTTACAAAGAGAAAATGACAAGCTTAGGTCCATGAACTTTCAGCTCCAATCATGGTCTGAGAAGCAGAAAGCTCCTGTGACAGCATAAAAGTCTCTTAGTTCTTGCAGTGACACAGCTGCTAATTCTGAAAATCAAAGGCAGAGTTTAGCTGTGTGGGTTGTTAAACTGACAGCTCAATTCCCCAGTACACCATTTCTCATGTAAAAGTCAGGGTACTAATTAGGAAAGAAAGGGATTCTGAAACTTGGAAGGGGGATATCTGTTTAGACTCAGATGAGAATGACAGTTTTGAACCCCCAAGTCATTCTGTGTCTTCCTCACCACTGGAAGTAGCTTGCCCTTTTGTGTCTCACGAGACTAGCTTTCCTGTGCCTGAAAACCCTGTGATGACTTCACTTGAGGTAGATGTCTTGGGAACCTCCCTCTCCAAGGCTCACCTGGCTAACACTACTGCTGAGTGGTTAATCTGCCAATAGCAGAGACGAGCACATGGCCCCAGTATGGCATCATTCCCAGGGGTACCAGTCTACAAGCTGATTACACTGGACCTCTTCCATCATGGGCAAAGAGCTGTCCTCACTGGAATACAAATTCTGGGTGTGGATGTGTCT